GTGTGTGTGTGTGTGTACAGTCAGTGTCAGGTGATTTGGCGCCACCTGTGGTCAGAGGTGGAACTTGTTTTGTTGTTCTGGCTTTCTGAGCACCAACAACACATCGTGTGTTTTAATATTCACGACTTAAAACTGAAACTTTCTGAATTCTGCTTCAAATAAAAAAGTGAAGTATGTAACTACAATTCTCAGAATGCTTTGGCACACGGACCTGTTGGCTCTCAGGTTGGATGTGACTGTGAAACTGCAGGAAACCTAAAATCTCACAGATTCTCTGTGATGTTTTTGCTGATGCTGTCCTCAGAAAGAGTCTGAACAACACGTCTGAACCTTAACATCCAAAACAATCCAGATGTTATCGAATACAGTCAGTCCATCCATTTTTGATGGATGACTGTAGCTCCCCTCTGACTTACCGTTAGAATACCAACCAAGCTCTCACTATGGTTGTACTGGGGCCAAATGACCCGTAACAATGGGCCAGACACCCAACACACCTGAAGAACCCTCTACAGGGTTCTCTGAGGGTAGAGTTTGTTCTCCAAGTCCAAAAAACACAAGTAAACTTGGGCAAACTCCCATGGACCGTCAAATATCCTCGAGAGTCCAGTGTTCTGCGAGCAGGACGAAAACCCCCTTGATCCTCCAGAACCTGAGGTTCAAGTAATGGAGGGACTCTCGTTTCCAGCACCCTGGCATAGACTTCTTAAACATGGAGCCACCACCTCAGTCTCCCAATCCAGATGCGCCGCCCCAAATCTCCATGTTGCAGTAGTGGTGTGTCAGGCAGGACAGCCCTACCAAATCCAGAGCCTTCAGGAACTCGAACCTCATCCACCCTAGGGTCAGTAGGGTGGATGAGGTAACATTACCCCTAGTGATAAATGGTAAATGTCCTGCATTTGTATAGCGCTTTTTCTAGTCCCTAAGGACCCCAAAGTGCTTCACACTACATTCAGTCATTCACCCATTCACACACACATTCACACACTGGCGATGGCAAGCTACATTGTAGCTAGTGATGGGTGAGTGGTCCCCCTCCTCAACGGACCCTGCTTCCATTACAGAAGGTGTGACTATGGAATTGAGCAGATTCTCAAAGTGTTCCCTCCACTGCATGACTATATCATCCTACCATCACTGTAGACAGTGTGTGTAGAATACCTCATTCTCCTGAATAAATGGCACCACAACAGCTGACAGCTCCAACCGAGTGTCACATAGCTGCAGAACCAATGATACGATTACAAAAATCCATCAACCTGCGGCCTACGGGGTCCTGGTGCACTTATGAACACATATTCAAAAAGGGTATTCATTGTGGACCAAGTGTAGCACAGAAGCCCAATAGCAGGACACAACTCGGGCATGCTGTTCTTTCCATGCACACCCCTCCAGGTCACACAGTCATTGCCCATGTGAGCGTTTAAGTCCGAGACTGGACTTTCCAGCACCTCACCCAGTGACTCTAAGAAGGCTGGATACTCTAAACTGTCCTTTGGCGCATAGGCACAAACGACAGTCAGAACCTATTCCTCCACCTGAAGGCGCAGGGAAGCAACCGTCTCATCCACCAGGAAAACCCCAACATACAGGCAACAAAGCAGGGGATAAAGTGTACCCAGCCCTGCCCACCGCATCTCAACCAGGGCAACTCTAGAGTGGAACAGAGTCCAGCCCAGAAAACTGGCTCCAGAGCCCGAGCAAAGTGTTGAGGTGAGGCCGAGTACATGCAGTCAGTACCTCCCAAGCTCACGCACATCTCAGCCTCAAACCCACCACAGCCTAAAACATTCTTAATAAACATATTTAAAAAATAAAAGCATTGTTCAACCAAAGGTAAGATTTTATTTGACTCCTACATAAATGCTTCAGCCTCCTCTTGTCGGGGCTGAGTAGCCAGAGAGTTTTTGGAGCAGACCCAAATGCAGACACAAGAGAGACAGAACCAAGTTTAAGAAAAGGAGAGCCATTAATTTAGGCTGAAACACAAAGGTACAAAAGTAAGAGAGAAAGCAAAACCAAGGGCTAAATCTAAACTGGGAAACTAGGAACTGGGAACACGGGGGAGATGAACAGACAACCTGACAAAGAACAAAGGAAGACAGAGGACTCAAATACATGGAGGGCAATGACAGAAGTAGAAACATCTGGGAAACACAGCTGACACAAATGAACATGGCACCACAAGGGAAGCAAAAGCAGACACACCAAACATGACTATCACACAGGAGGAAAGGCAGATGAGAGAGGGACATGATGGGGTGGAGAACATGGAACAACACACAGGAAGGGGAGACGAGACAACATGGAAACGGAAATATAACTAAACGGAGCAAAAAGATACTCAAAAATAGAAAAGTAAAATACTACACACAAAGAAATCACAAAGCACTGTGAACATCAAAAGGTGACACCTCTAATCTGCTTCACTCAGCTAATTCTCACAACTCTGCTGAAGTCTTAAGAGTTCTGCACAATGTACAGGTCAAGGGCTTTTATTGTGAAAGAGTCGGTGCAAGTAGAAGCATATATTGTTTGTCTGGGAGGGATTGTGGAATGTCACGTTTCCTGCTGGCGTCGACGTAACCCCTCGGCTCAGGTTTTTTCTTTAAAAACATCACGAGCAGCTAAAGAAGAAGAAGAAACTGTGGGTTTCTTACCCTGCGTCGCGATGTAGTGGTTGGGTCTGTGGTAGCCCTGCGAGAGGGAACAGAGAGGTTATACCCACACACACAAACTCATGATCATATGAACAAAAACATGCAGTGTGTGTGTGTGTGTGTGTGTGTAGCTGTTGGGAGCCAACATGTCTGTGATGTTTACACACAGCTGACACTGACAGAGACGGTCGTCATGGAAACATAGTCGACCAGGACATTTCACATCAACGTTTATAGGAAAGTAAACTCTGTGTGTGTGTGTGTGTTACTCACGTCTACATAGTTAGCGTTGATGTAGTCCGAGCCGCCGCCTCCATCCTGAGGCTGCAGACGCACACGAGAGTGATCATCTAACACACACACACACACACACACACACACACACACACACACACACACACACACACACACACACACTGTTAGTTCGATCCTCATTTCCTGAGAATAAAACATCTAATAATAAATTAATAAAGTTTTAATTACAGTTGTTCAATAAAATGATAAAAACTGTGTGTGATGTTTCAAAATGATGACATTAAATTTAAATAATAACTGAATAAAAAAAATGAAGATAAATTTAATGAAAGAAAGTAAAAACAAATCAAAGTTGGAGCTGAATTGTTCCCGTGTCACCGACCACAGAGCGCCCACGTCATCTCTGACGCCTGTAGCACACTGGCTGTTACTACTGTCATTCACACAGATAGGTGTGTGTGTTTGTGTGTGTGTGTGTGGGGGGGGTGTGTGAATGTAAAATGTGTCCCTGCAGGCCACCGTAGCTCACAGCCTCGGCCTTCATCACACCTCATTAGCATAATTACACGCCACAGGGCCCTGTGTGTGTGTGCGCGCGCGCATGTGTGCTTCCTGATGTTCTTCAGCACCTGTCAACACCGACTTTGTGGGACGTCAGCTGAGCAGTTACATGATGTGTTTGTGAGACCTGGGGCAGTGTGCTGATCAAAACTGACACCAGATCCGCCTGACGGACACACACACACACACACACACACACACACACACACACACACACACACACACACACACACACACAGCTTGTCTGAAACTGCAGGTTTTCTCTCTGACATCGTTTTATGCCACCTGACTGATTAGCATCTGGTTTCTCTATAACTTCCTGTGATTGGTCTGAAAGCCGAAAGCTTCAAAGAAAAGTTTTGACACCAGGACCAAACAAGATCAGTTCACTCTGATTCCAGACTGGTCCTGGGAACGAGTCACAGCTGGACTCTGGGCTGGACTCAAACTGAGACATCAGTCTGGACCTCAGGAGGTCAAAGCAGCAGCAATCACACAGCGCAGAGTTGGTGACACGAATCGTAGCCATGATGGAAAAGTAAAAGAGGCTCTGCTGAACTTTCAGGTGGAAGACTGGAACGAAAAACTGCACTGACTGCTGACCAAGGACTGTTTGGGAATTTGAAGAGGACTATCAGCTCCTGGAAAGTTCGAGTACAGAGCCAATCCAGGATCTAAGGGGACCAACAAGTCCTATATCAAGTCCAAGACAGAGACCAAATGGAAGACTTGGAAACACTGTCCCGGGACAAGTTCTGGGACTCTGTCTCCATATCTATGGATATATATAGTTTTTGTAACCGTGCTGCTGCCATTTTGATCACACGAGCGCAGGATGGCGTCAGTTTTTACCGCCAGTGTGACGAGCTCTCTCAGGTCACTCTGAGCTTGATAAAACGAAGCTGTCTGGGAACCAAACCCTCCTCCTGTCCCCGTGCTGCTGTGCAGGTTTGGCCTGACATGAGAATCCTGCAGCGAGACGCCCAAAACTCATGTCAGACCAACACCTGAGGTCAGCGTTCCCGGTCTCATGTTATTAACTGTCCGTGGACACAAACAGCTGAAATCAGCCTCTATGACGGACGCAGGTGACGTGCACGGGTACCTACAAGCAATGATGTTGCCGTAGCGATTCTTCATGCGGTTCTCGTCCTTCTTGGCCGAATCCCAGGGAGCGGACTGTCCCTCAAAGAAACTCTGAAAAGACACAGAGAGGGGGGTTAGTTTGGAGGCAGCGAGTGATGAATAATGCAGAGGACGTGTTTGATTTCTGTGCCTGAACCACACAGACGCCAGTTTTACGCTCTGAGCAGATGATTAGGTCCAATTAGGAGCAGGCAGCTCTGAGAGACGCCCCAGGCTCCAAACACGCTCTGGTCGCTGCGTTTCCACACAAAGACACGACTTCACCTGTGTGTGTGCACCGATGCTTCACACCACCAAGAAGCTCCAGATTCTCTGTTGTGTCACTGCACATGCGCGCTTGGCTCTCACTGTTTTTGTGTGTCTTTGCTGTGATTTTGTATATTCCTGAATGTCGTTGTGAGTTCTCGTGTTTGTTGGGCTGCTCTTTGTGATTTGACGTCTCTTTGTGCGTCTGCATCACGGGTTTGTGTAAGTAAGTAAGTAAGTAAGTAAAATTTTATTTATATAGCACATTTCTAGATAAAAAATCACAAAGTGCTTTACAAGGTATAGGCACAGATTAAAAAGACAAAGTACAGTCAAAAGTTAACAAAATGCAATTTTAAAAAGATGTGTTTTTAGCTGTTTTTTAAAAGTAATCAGTGAATGAGCAGATCTTAAGTTCTGAGGAAGAGAATTCCACAGTCTGGCGGCCACAGTAGCAAAAGCTCGATCACCCCTAGTTTTCAGTCTCGTATACTGAATAACAAGTAGGCCCTGACCACAAGACCTCAGAGACCTACTAGGGGCATAGGGCTGTAAGAGTTCAATGATGTATGATGGTGCTTGTTCTTGAAGAGCCTTAAATGTCAGAACCAGAATCTTAAAGTGGACTCTGGATTCGACAGGGAGCAAGTGTTACTGTATAAGCAGCGGTGTTATATGTGAGTATTTCGATGTTTTCGTCAGAAGCCTTGCTGCAGCATTTTGGACAGTCTGCAGACGCTCCAGGTGTTTGTATAAATGTGTGTCTTTTGTTTCTTTGTGTTTCCTCTGAGGAACATTTTGCTCTGCAGCTGTGTGTGAGTCTTTTTGTGTGTGTCTCTATCCTAAACTGACAGCAGAATCTTCAGCAGTCATACACTTGTTTGTCTGTGAAGGTTCTCAGTCATCCAGGTCATTGTAGTCTAAGGAGCTTGCAAAGAAAAGCGTCTGGACTTCTTTAAGTTGCTTGAAGATGTTTCACCTCTCGTCCGAGAAGCTTCTTCAGTTCTAGGATCAAATGGTGGAGAGTCCCAGATTTAAGCTTTGTGGGAATAACCCACCAAGAGGGACAAAAGGACCCCCTAATGATCCTCTGCCTAATCACATCAGCCAAGGTGTGAAAACGGGTGTGGGTCACAATCAGCCAGGGTTTTGGGTGAGCTCATTGTGAAACCTGGCCCCACCCTATCACGTGATTTCCTCAGGTCAGATGGCCCAGGATGTGAGTGGGCGTTAAGGCCTCTGGGAAGGATCTCAAAACTGGATTATAGATATTATCACTTTATTGATAACAGAACACTTTTCATTACTTATAACTCCTGTTTAAATGTTCATTAGGCAAAGATATTGCAAACTCATGGAAATTTAGGGTATTCTATACAGTTTGTTCAAAGTTGTCTGACTCTCCAGATATAAATTAATTGTGTCTTTAGAGTTGTAAATGCTTGACTGAGTGTCTTTTATTTAGGTACATTTCTATTTTATAAATAAAGGTAATTGTGACTATTAAAAGTGTTCTTCATTATATTTTCATGTAACTTTGTTATGAAAAAAAAAGTCAAAAGGAACCATTGGCCCCCAGGCATCTTCACTTTATAAAATTTGGCCCTCTTTGCAAAACGTTTGGACACCCCTGCCTTAGACCATACACTTGTTTGTTTCACCTTCTCCTGACTGTTGAGTTGATCTACTGTGGGGTTTTTTCCATCGCATTCCTTCACCTTGTTTCTGCCCACTTCATGACCTCGTTGGTCTTTCAAGTGGTTTTACATTGTCTCATATCTACAGTCAGTTTGTTGGGTTTTTCTGTTGTTTTCTACTCTTTGATAATTGGCGGAGACTTGACTTGCTGGTTGGACCCTATTTTGTCGTTAAAACCGACCTCTCTGAGTAAATCAGCGTCGCACGTTCACTCTTCCTTCTCTACATATGGTGTTAGAGATATTTGGCGCCATCTGACTGATAGGGAGCGTTTCTTTTTCTTTAATCTGCCTCACACCTCTTCTAGGATAGACTATTTTTTCTGAGATAATTGTTTGACTAGTATTGCGTGTGCCTGTGAATACCATGAAAATAGTTAGATCATGTCCCCTTAAGTTTGGCCCTGTCTATGCCCGACTTCCCTGCATCAGGCAGGAGTTTAAACCCCACACTGCTATCACATAATACCTTTATATAATTTATAAATAACCATATTAAACTTTTTCTAGACCCAAACATCCCCACAACCTCTGGGGACAGAATATCTCAGGAAAAACGTAATAGAAAAGCAAGAATTGGCCGATAAAATAAAAGACTTGGATCATCAGTATGCACACACAAAGGATCCCAAAGATCTAAATCCAAAGTAGCTAGGCTGAATCCTGGCTCAGACCCCCGCTGTAACAGGTGTGGGTCTGATGTCTGGGAAGAGGTTTTCTATACTCTGAATAAGGAAACTGGCTCCTAACCCCCTACTTGCTCTCTTTGGTACAGTGGGTGAGGATGATAAGTGTATTACTGGGGCAAAACGCTGGGTGCTGTCTTTTGGTTCCCTCCCGGTGAGGTGAGACATTTTGGTGAGGTGGAAGGGTGCTGCCCCGCCCACCCATGTCTTGCTGATCTTATGTCTCAGTCTTAAAAAGATCAACGTCTCGTTCCAGAATGAAAATGGCAAATTTGATCAAATTTAGGGTTCTTTTCTGACAAATTACTCAATCCTTCCATTTAAGCATTTTGGATTAACTCAAGGCTTTTCAGGGAGTTTTTAGGACTTCCTGATAATAATGAATTACAGTCATCCAGCCTGATGTTTCTGGCAAAATACATTTATATTAAAAAATCAATTCAGAATTTAATTAATAGATATCAGATTATTCAAACTAAAATCCATTTGAATCTGGAAATTGATCTTTTAAACCCAGCCCTAGTCAAAGACCCTGGTCCGTGATAAAATCAGACAAACTCTGAGTAAGGTGCAGGTTAACAACAAATCAAATTTAGTTTTGAGTCAGTTAGAGTGGACGAGGCTAAGCATCACACTTTCAAATGAAATAAAACACTATGGGTCTATAGTGATTGGCGCCACACCGCCGCCTCGGCCTGTGCTTTAAAGATTCTTATAGTTAGAATGACTCGTGGGTGTTGATTCATTTTAACTGACATAACCAACTGCAACCAGGTTTCTGTAAGGCAGAGTAAGGCTACGTCCACACGTACACAGCTATTTTTGAAAACTGAGATTTTCCGTTTTCGTTTTTTTTAAAAATCCCGTCCACATGTGCAGTTTTGAGAAAATATCTCCGTCCACATGTAAACACTAAAAACAAAATGTTGGCAGCAATGAAGCTTTCGCTGTGGTAAGTTCCTCTCCGTCTGCTCTCACAGAGCATGAGTTTAAAACATATTTGAAAATCCTCATTGGAGCTAATATGACAGTGCACTAACTGCATGAACTGCCCATACGGTAGTATTTGAGTAGATTTCAGGTTTATGACCGTGTTTTGCAGTTAATAGATTAGACGGTAGGAAAAATGGACACGTGGAGCTAGCGGCTAACAGCTAGTGGAGGCTGTCGTGTCTAATAATTTTGAAACTTCTCTCAATAGTTTGGGCGGAATCCTGTTGCTGAAACCCATGGTTATTCATGTCCCATGTTATTGCAGGTATGTGTACTTTGAAACATGTATATGGTTGAGCTGCAGGC